CTATATGGTTCTGCAGTTTGCACTCCATTGTACGTCTAAAGAGATGATGGGGTGTTGTAAGGACTCAAGTATGGGTAGTAAAATAATTCTTAAAATGGTAATATGTAGGTTTTATAGGTGAAGTCCTATTCCTGAAAGAGTACATATTTGAGGCTGAAGGAGTTTAGAATCTTCACACAATGTGTGGATATTTACTTCAATTATTCAATCATGTGTAAAGGAAAGTAAAAAGGCATTTGCTTTTCACATGAATGGATAATTGAAGTGAATCTTCACTCAATTTATTGTGTGAAGATTTTCCACTCCTTTAGCAAATCAGCTTCATTGTGGGCTTGGTTGGCATGCAGTTGGTATGAGGGCACTTCTGTATGGGAAGAGACTGGACAGACCTGTGGTGGCATGACCATAAACAAGTGGCATGCCATGAGAAACCCTTTTCCCTCCAGCAGTTACTAATTAAGACAATGCTCTGAGCAAGACAGGAGACATTAGATGAAGTGTTAACTTAATGATTCCTCCGTTTGACTGCCTCCAACCAGCACAAGCTGCCACATTTCCAGCTAAATGAAAGTGGACAGCTGCTGCATACAACAGTGCAGGGGAAAAGAGGGATTAGGCTTGGGTGGGAGTGAAGGGGGCTGTGAAGTCAATACATAGAAACTCTCATACAAGTCATAAGAATACAAGTCATAAGAATATCATCCAGCTAGTATCATACTCCCAGTGCACACGTTTGACAGGTAGATTCTGTGCTTGGGGGCTGAGAGCAGAAACGCTTGTGTAGTGTTTATATTCATGTGTAATTACAAGGTCCTTTTGCCACCTACCTATTGATTCACCAGTGACCCGTCAAAAAGAGTAGCATGGGAATTCTGGTATGACACAATGCTAACAGGGAGAGCACTCACCCCCTCCTGCAGGCTTAGCTTCTACCGATACAAACTCCACCTTCTGAACTCCACGCTCACACTACGACATCATTACAGCTTGTCCTGCATGGCTCCCACTCATCAATGTCATATCATAGCCTACAAGGACCAACAAGCTGCTCCCAGCCTGCCATGGTACCCAGTCTGTTAAAGAGGGGTTCTCGCAAAGGAAAATCACACACGCATTGACATGCATGGGATTCATTCTTTGTGGAAAGGACAAGGAACAAAAATTAAAAAAAAATTATGAGAGCAATGCTGCCAGACACAAGGTCATGAGGACAACTGATTAATTAGGGTCGCAGGAGCCCCTGTGTTTCCAGCTCCAGGCAGCCTGCTCCTGACAGTGCAACCAGAGAAAACACATTTTTATTGAACTGGGAAACCGTTTTTAACATCCCTCAGCGGGGGTGCTTTGGGACTTTTTGTGTGTTATAATTGCTTAAAGATATATGGCAGCTTAGATTACTGTAATTACCATCAGGGGCTGTTGAAAGAAGTTAGTCTGAGTCTAAGGGACTGCTGCTTGGGTTCCTATTACCACCCAGGCAGAGATAAGTTCACATAGCTGTACAGTCATCCAGCCAGAGCCATTGGGGTACATTCATTACTCGCTGCACCTGTGTGGGATGGCTAGCAGGGCTAGGTAACCTTATTTCATCCTGGCCACACATCACAACATCAACCACATACTAAGCAACCTTTATACCATTGAGCAATCAAGCTATCTATCTGCCTATCTGCCTATCTGCCTATCTATCTATCTATCTATCTATCTATCTATCTATCTATCTATCTATCTATCTATCATTCCATGTACACATTTATCTATCCATCTATCTATCTCTTTAATATATATTATATAATCTATCATGCTATGTACCCATCTGTCTCTCTAATATATGTTATATAATCTATCTATAACATCTATCTATCTATCTATCTATCTATCTATCTATCTATCTATCTATCTATCTATCTATCTATCTATCTATCTAATTAACTATAGCCAGTATTTGCTACCCACATGTTGCTTCTTAATGCTTACTGTTGTTATTACTATTGTGACGCCTTGATAAAAATTAATAAAGCAATCTGAGGTTTTAGCTACTATTGATGTGTCTGAATACTGAACAGTAATAAGAAATCTCGAGACTGGCAGAGGTATAGGCACAGGCCAGTATGTACAGTATGCACCCCAAAGGAGGGAGACCAATGAGAATATGTGTATGTAGATATATATATATATATAAGGCATGCCATGAGAAACCCTTTTCCCTCCAGCAGTTACTAATTAAGACAATGCTCTGAGCAAGACAGGAGACATTAGATGAAGTGTTAACTTAATGATTCCTCCGTTTGACTGCCTCCAACCAGCACAAGCTGCCACATTTCCAGCTAAATGAAAGTGGACAGCTGCTGCATACAACAGTGCAGGGGAAAAGAGGGATTAGGCTTGGGTGGGAGTGAAGGGGGCTGTGAAGTCAATACATAGAAACTCTCATACAAGTCATAAGAATACAAGTCATAAGAATATCATCCAGCTAGTATCATACTCCCAGTGCACACGTTTGACAGGTAGATTCTGTGCTTGGGGGCTGAGAGCAGAAACGCTTGTGTAGTGTTTATATTCATGTGTAATTACAAGGTCCTTTTGCCACCTACCTATTGATTCACCAGTGACCCGTCAAAAAGAGTAGCATGGGAATTCTGGTATGACACAATGCTAACAGGGAGAGCACTCACCCCCTCCTGCAGGCTTAGCTTCTACCGATACAAACTCCACCTTCTGAACTCCACGCTCACACTACGACATCATTACAGCTTGTCCTGCATGGCTCCCACTCATCAATGTCATATCATAGCCTACAAGGACCAACAAGCTGCTCCCAGCCTGCCATGGTACCCAGTCTGTTAAAGAGGGGTTCTCGCAAAGGAAAATCACACACGCATTGACATGCATGGGATTCATTCTTTGTGGAAAGGACAAGGAACAAAAATTAAAAAAAAATTATGAGAGCAATGCTGCCAGACACAAGGTCATGAGGACAACTGATTAATTAGGGTCGCAGGAGCCCCTGTGTTTCCAGCTCCAGGCAGCCTGCTCCTGACAGTGCAACCAGAGAAAACACATTTTTATTGAACTGGGAAACCGTTTTTAACATCCCTCAGCGGGGGTGCTTTGGGACTTTTTGTGTGTTATAATTGCTTAAAGATATATGGCAGCTTAGATTACTGTAATTACCATCAGGGGCTGTTGAAAGAAGTTAGTCTGAGTCTAAGGGACTGCTGCTTGGGTTCCTATTACCACCCAGGCAGAGATAAGTTCACATAGCTGTACAGTCATCCAGCCAGAGCCATTGGGGTACATTCATTACTCGCTGCACCTGTGTGGGATGGCTAGCAGGGCTAGGTAACCTTATTTCATCCTGGCCACACATCACAACATCAACCACATACTAAGCAACCTTTATACCATTGAGCAATCAAGCTATCTATCTGCCTATCTGCCTATCTGCCTATCTATCTATCTATCTATCTATCTATCTATCTATCTATCTATCTATCTATCTATCATTCCATGTACACATTTATCTATCCATCTATCTATCTCTTTAATATATATTATATAATCTATCATGCTATGTACCCATCTGTCTCTCTAATATATGTTATATAATCTATCTATAACATCTATCTATCTATCTATCTATCTATCTATCTATCTATCTATCTATCTATCTATCTATCTATCTATCTATCTAATTAACTATAGCCAGTATTTGCTACCCACATGTTGCTTCTTAATGCTTACTGTTGTTATTACTATTGTGACGCCTTGATAAAAATTAATAAAGCAATCTGAGGTTTTAGCTACTATTGATGTGTCTGAATACTGAACAGTAATAAGAAATCTCGAGACTGGCAGAGGTATAGGCACAGGCCAGTATGTACAGTATGCACCCCAAAGGAGGGAGACCAATGAGAATATGTGTATGTAGATATATATATATATATAATGCAAAACTGGTAACAGAAACATTTGTTATATTATACATTTTCATGTAAATTTTCTTATTTTTCTAGGTGCGTTTTCTTAAAATGAAAATAATATTTTTGATCAACATGAAAACGAATTTTCCGCATGAAAAGAACACTCATTCTGAGTTAATTAGAAGGAATGAATATATTGTAAATGACCAGGCACATTTGACTTGATATGGGTAATTTTAGCACCTTTATGCTGAGTGAAAAAACTTTGAACGGCTTCATCAGTTAGACAGAGGCCATGCAATAATGTAATCCTTATTTCCCTCTTTAGTGTCCACATAAACCTTGGCAGGATTAGCAGCGACTTTTGCAGCAAACAATAACCCGCACACAGACCTTCCCACAGCTAAAGTGCCTAGATTCAGGATTAACAGGAATGTGACTTTAAAATTGTTGTTTTTTTCCCTTCATCCCTCGTTTCTCGGATTATTTGCCATAATTAGGGATGCCTTGTGCTGTAGATTGCATTGCAATCCGATTTCAACTTGATTATGTGAGCAGGTTTAAACTTTTTCCTACTTTTATAGAAGCCTTGCCACAAACAACAAGTCACAAAATAAGACAGAAATAATCGTAGCAAGAAAAACAAAAACCAATAAAATAGTTTACTTTCACCTGCAATAGTTTACAAGCTAGTTAAAATTGTTTTGTAAGTGAAACCTTTCACATAATACCGTATTATCTATCTATCTATCTATCTATCTATCTATCTATCTATCTATCTATCTATCTATCTACATATGATTGATATAGATATCATTCTATAAATGACCTATCTATCAATCTGATATAGATATAGCTATCTATTATCCAATCACTCATTATCTATTAATCTATCTCTATCTATCTATCTATCTATCTATCTATCTATCTATCTATCTATCTATCTATCTATCTATCTATCTATCTATCGATCTACTATCCATCCATGTATCTATGCTGTCTGCCTGCCTCGGTGTGTATAGTGACATCCTTGCAGCACTTGGTGTAACCCCCAGATAATATGACCCAGATACGCACTTGTTGATCCTGCAGGTTTGCTCATAGTGCTGAATGTCCCCAGAAGGTGGTCCAGGTTCTGTTGAGGTCCAATGATGACAGGTACAGTCCAGCTCACAGCTCTCCCAGCCGGCTCCCTCCAAGCATCCTGTCTTCTCACAGTTTGGGAATCAGCAGTGTAAACTTTGTCAGAGTGGCAGGAACGTCCTGATAGTTGAAGCGACTCTCCCCCAGCTCTGTCACCACCAGCCAGTATTTCCAGATGAGGAATAATACAAAGTTTGTCCCTCCTTGGGAGAAGCAGAGGCGCAACTGTCAGTGTCAGGTAGAAGAAGTCTTTGTTGCAGGAGTCTGAGCAGGCTTCCAGCTTAGGTGGGTGAAGGAGCAGAGAGAAGTTCACACTAGGCAGTGACTGGCTCTATGGAGACAAGGCAGGCTTTGCAGAAGTTCAGTGCTCTGAATGACTTTGTGCTTTGAGCCGCAGGCTATAGCCCTTAGAATGAAATGGGGACAGCAGAAAGTGACAGGACACTGGGGAGGAGATAAGTGCTCCCTGTGCCCACTGAGAGCTGCCCTGCTCTTCCTCACTGCTGGAGGAGCATGACGTCACAAGCATGGATATTAATGAGCCTCCCTATGCTCAGACAGGGCTGATCTCTCTATATGCTGACAGCACGCTACCTGCATGAATCCTATGGCACTGTGTGTGCCCAGTCCAGGTACAGTACCCTATGGCACTCCGCTCATGCCTTCCTGCCTGGCAAGGATGTCCCTGGAGCACTTAGATTTCTCAGGTATTGTGTCTGTCTGTGCCATTGTCACATGTCCCTTCTCTTCTGCACTAATCCGATTTGTGTCATAGGTCACTCTCTCCATTATTTCAATGGGCAGCCCTGTTAGGCGTTTATCAACTTTCTAGGAGTAATCTCCACTTTCTCTGAGCCAAGTGGTGTTATTTATGTGATTAAGAAGTAAAAGAGTGTAGAGAATAAGAAAAGTCAGTCTCAACTTTATGGACTGCTGGATGGTCTGAAATGATATCGCAGCCATTGACTGTGCTGTAGGGGGGACTCCTCCTAGCTGGTGCCCATATACACAGCTGGTACCGACTTTATCATCCTTTCATCTTTTACTGGAGATGCCAGGCTATGATGAGTTTCATTGCTGCTAGGTATCTATGTGGCCATTATACTGACTACATTTACACTGTTCTATGGTGGTATACTGTACCCTGTACTGCAAGGGACATATACCTGCTACCTGCAGTACCACCTTTGTGGTGATCATTGACAATTCTAATCAGGAATATCTCCTCTGTTACTGCTATATTATAAATGCTAATTGCTAAACACACTGGGATAGGAATAGGCAGCAGTGACAGACTTTGATGGCTTTTGCAGGCAGACACTCCTCAAAACTGCCATTAGTTTGACATATTGTTTGTCCCGGTACATAAATAGAATTAGCATTAGAGCCATCATTCACTTTATAGGGGAACATATGGTAAGACATGTGTTATTTCAATAAGACATAAATATTTGCAAATAATGACTGTGATTTGTATTAAACATTTTCCAAGATATGTTTGAGATAGTTTAGTGAAAGCATCTGATTGTATGTACCATTGCCGCCTCTCATTTCACCGCCAGGGTCGCCCTCCTATTGACATAATTTCACAGCAGTTGGGTATTTCACCTTCAGCCCCTTCATATGGAGAATCTAAGACCTGGCCTGTGAAATCTGCCCAGTCATGGGAATGAGCATGGGGAACTGGAAATCCATTGCCCTGCCAATGGGCTTTTTGCATAATTAGGGGTACCCTTAAAAGAATACACGTGTTTATATCTATTTATACGTTAATATTTGTACCTATTTATACAGAGGCAAGAAAACGCGAATCATTCTTTCTCTACAGAGCTATATCCAGCATTTTATCACATTTAGAAACTTGCAGAAAATTCAAATTGTTGACCTCTGTGAGTTTCATTCTCCATATAGAGACACATAGGGGTCTATTTAATGTTTTTATCCGTTTATACACAACGTTCTCCCAAGATTCCCACATTTCCTAATGAGATGTCGTTGTAAAAACGTCCCAGGTGAAAGTTGTGTAAATCTTGTTTGAACATATTATTAATAGACCCCTTGTTCCTAAACTTTTGCAAGATTAAAAATGTACTAATTCACTAATCTACTTCAGTGATCCTGATGAGAACTTTAATTTATTTTGTCCTGAACGCCCCTTTTAATGTTCAGTTTAAATTGTTATCACCCCCACCCTGAACATAATCATATTTGTAACACTTAAACAATGTATATAAACAAGTCTAAGTGATATTACCGTTTCTATAGGAATTTAGAAGTGGTTAATCTTCTACCTATATAAAACTTGGAGTTTATTTGACTATGCCCGATAAATAAATATGATTTAACAAACATTTAATTATGATTCTGTTAATCTTAATAATATTATTAAAGCATTCCTTGAAATAGCACTAGGCATATGCAAATAACAGATCGAAATTTTCGCATGCCAATTAGAACATGCCATTGATATGCAGAGAAGACTATTAGCTCTTTGAATATTTTAGCCTCATTACGTTGGAAATTCACCCAGAAAGTCAGAGCCTTGTGTAGAGACGGTTTAAGGACAAGTGTTCCCTGTTTTCCACTTCCTTGAACATTAGCACCAAATTTATTTTCTTTTTTTTTTTTTCTCTCTTCATCTTCTAAGTTAATACAAACTAACACAAACTAATACAACTTTTAAACTCGTACACACAATGGAAAACCAGAACAAGATGATAGATCATACAAATCCAAATGTATCATTTA